TATATATATATATATATATAGTTCTATATAATTAATGATTACTACTCAATAAACTTCTTTTCTATTAAATGAATTTGAAATATTTTATTTGCTGATTTTGTAGGTTGATTTTTCCGACAGGGTAGAAAGTTGATTTATTTTGAAGCGAACTTCCGTCATCCCATGTCAAGTTTGGTTTGGAGACAAACCGATTTCGGTGTTGTTCCACCTTCAGTGCTATTAATCAAATTAAAACACGCATAGAGAAAGTTATGGAGAAGAAGTAAAAAAAAATCAAAGCAGATGCTCGAAATGTTATAAAAGAATAAAAAATAATAATTAGAAGAACCTTAATTCAATGTCAGGCTCGTAAATCTTACAGAAGTTCAAATCAACAAAGAGGTGCAAATTTTAGAAAAAGAACTCAAACATATTATCCAAAATTATAATAAGAAAATGAGATCAAGCAGACGACATCTAAAGCTTTTTATAATAAAAACACTTTCAGCTCACAAAGAAGCTCCTCAAGCGACTGCTATCTATTCCTGAAAGCTCATCGGTAGTGTGGAAAAAGCTCCAACCAACCCTACAAGAATTGTGTGATGGAAACTAACACATTCTCATTTACCTTACTAACCCATTTACAAACTTTGCGTTGGTTAAAAAGAGACAACTAAATAATGCCATAAGTCGGAGGAAGACGGAACACAAATGTTAACATCAGATTTTTCACACTGCCCTTTAGAATTTGATAGAAACTTGTAGGCAGCCAGTGACAGAAATCTCTATCAGTCTTGCCACTCAAATGATTTGTCAAATGATAGTCACTGTTCTTGTAGGGAAGTCACTTAAACCTTACGCTCACAACGGCAGCGCACCATAGCAGCAGGTGTTGAGACAATTTCACCTCACCATCCTGCATGCAGCTGGTACAGCAAGGGTCATAGATGATTACCGCCTGCTTACCTATTACGCAATGACCAGTTGAAACTCCCACCATAAGCTCGTGGTGTAACTTGCTTAGTCTCAAAAGCTCCCCGGATTGCCTCCGGTCTACATGTGGTCAAAAGGATTTAGCCACCTTTCATGCCAAGGTTTTCGCCCAGCGCTCGCAGAGCTGATTAAATGCCCGTCTGTCCAGAAATAGACCACAAGAAGTCAAGGAGGCTGCCAAACTTTCTTTATGATCGGCTATGCTGTTTCCAGCGATTTCGCTGTATAAGGAAGTCAAGCAATCATTCACCGTTCTCGAATGAACCGTCAAGAAGCCATGATCCTTGTTGATAGCTGCTTGTCTGTCGGAATAGATATTGTTTACCTCCTTAAAAAAATATTACACTAGAGAGCAACAAATCCGAAGCCTACTATATTGCGGCTACCGCTGATTGGAAAACGCTACAGATTTCCGGTAGCCTAAATTCGAGGTTGATGGAGAGTTCTTCGCAGAATATGCCCACACCTAATTGATCAAAAGACATCGCTACATCTTCTAGTCAAATGCGATGCTATTTCCTGGAGACGGGAGAGAAATCTAGCACGAAACCCTATTTTGAACTTAAATATCTTTGCTCCTAATATGGGCAAAATTTGCGTAAGCCGTCAGGCGTAAGTTGACGAATTCAGAAGTGATTTCCGAATCATTGTAAGACCAAGTTCGGTACACAGATGTTTACACCCGATTTACATGATTCAAGTACTTGAAAGCAATTCTTGCTCATTCTCTTTTGTGTTTTCTATTTGCTTTTACACGTTTCAACTCTGTTGAATTCAAGTTTTTGGTTCTTTAAATGGGAAGCAACGAAAATACCAAAAGCAAAGCATGAAAATTGAAACGACTTGACGGTACAGACCAAGGCGAATTAATATAAGGTGGCGTTACTAGCTCAGCTGATTTTGTGTATGTGTTTCGCCGCTCGGCTTCTGATATCAAATTGAAAAATTTTGTTTGAATTTCTACACACACTCTTACAGATTTTGACAGTTTATGCCGCCAAAGCAAAAACAAAATACATGTACATTTTTGTTTTTGTACTCCTGCCATCACCTTATATTAATTCGCCTTGGTACAGACGCATGTGTACTCGTCGCTTTTCTTCTCACCCCCTCTCTTCCACATGCGAGCAGAATTGAGTTCAATACTTAAACTGTGTAAAAGCAGTCTTACCAATTTTCTTGAGTAGCTATTGGTCACACCATTTTTATTATTTTCTCTCTCTTTTTAATATAAAAAAAAATTGGAACCGTTAAGGCTCAGTTAGTCTAGACTTAACTTACTTACGTAAGAAATCGTCAATGATTACTCAACACGTCAACTTAGCCAGAAGCGAAAATATTTCGTTTATGTATTTTTCTTTTCAGCTGATTGTCACTTTGCCGTCTACAAGCCATATCGAAAAGTTCCTGGAAAAAATATATTGCGTTGGCCAATACAATAGGTTACGTTGCCTAAATTAAGTCTAGACTAACTGAAGCTTTATGGATTTGTCCGTTACCGTTTGTGCAGAGAATGAAATATTTCAGATAATTTTTATCTGCGCAAAATATTGTTGTTTCCAAGCCATTCCGGTGAAATGAGTGAGGAATATATATATATATGTAAATTTAAACAGAGAAATTATTCTTTTTTATATTTAAACTTCATTAAATTTGCTTCTCCGAAATATCTCCAATACGGCTATCGTGAACCGAATGTAATGAACGGAAAACCGTGCTGGCAATTTTATTTCCCTGACTTTATACTTTTAAAACAATTAACGGCGCTATTGCTTATTAAGTGATATCATTTTTATAAATTTCACGAAAAATCGCACGAGGATGAATTCTGCTCCTCTATAACTCAACATAGAATTTATTTCTAAATACAATTCTGTGTAGTAGCTTATGTCGAAAGACTGGCTTTAGCATAAATCCGCACGCGCAGCATACGATTGCGAATGACTCACTGGCGCTGAGCTGTTGAACAACTTTTGGCAAATAAACGTGCAAGAAATAGTTCCGATACTAGCAAGTCAATATTCTTATTAAGTCTGATCAAAAAATTCCTTGTCATTTAAAGAATAAAGGGAATACCACATTATACTAAAGTCATCCTTTCGACATAAGCTACCTTTCCATACGAACACAGAATTAAACGAATAGTCGTAAAGGCAATAAACTTGGAAAGTCAAAATTTTACTTTTAAGCAGACGCGTAAGACTATTGTGAATTATTAGATTCAGTTTCGTCGAACAAAAAATTTTCATAGCTCTAGCTAATAATGCATTTTTTCAATATAAAATATGATAAATAGATATTACGAATACAATTCATATAGTTATTACGTAAAAATTTATTTTATTTAATATATACATTTTCACCACGAAACTATTTGCTCCCACATACTTCCAACACTCGTCGCTTTCAAAGGGATAAAATTTCTGTAGCAGCAACATTGCTAAAATCATCAGTTGTCGTCAAATTTCTCTTTCAATTCGTTGTATTTTTGTTACTACGATTCTAGATTTTTGAATTTGGTGTAAATAATATAAAAAATATATATTTTATAAATGTTATCCAAGTGTTGTATTAATAAAAATTGATGAAATAAAAGGAGCGTAAAAGCAATTTAAACCGATTGCTAAGCAATTTCGTAAAAATTCTAAATCAAAGCTCTTGCGAAAGTAACGAATACTTGAAACAGCTGCTTTGGCTTCCTTTTCCTCTCGCCAATAGCAACGAAAAAGGAACCAAAGTTCGTGCAACGGTCTGCATCGTGTCTCAACCATTTTAAAAAAGATGACCGAACAACAACCGCAAATACGAATAGTAAAAAGGCAGCGTAAGTACATAAATTGAAATTGCTGGCGGATTGGTTAATTGTGGGGCATTATAGTGAATATTTTATTACTAAAGTAAAGAAAACATTTATAAAGTGTACGGTGCTATTTTCAATAGAAGGGCTAGTTAGAACTAAAATTTGTATCCGGCGGAAATATTCAGCAGCAGAAATGAGTAGATATATTGCATTTTATATATAGTACATATGCATCTATGTACATATCCAAAAATCTTTCATGATCAATATAGCCGTAGCCACCTTGCGTTTGTTAAATTTTTTAACAAAATTTGTAAAACGTAGTAGCCAAGAAATTTCGATTCAATTTACATCCATAAAAAAGCTAGGAGAAAATTAAATTAAATTAAATAAATATAAGAAAGAAAATTTGTATAACGCACTTAAACAATAAAATATATGTGCAAGTTGCTTGTATATTATTAATTAGTACAATTACATTACATAGCACGTAAAATTTTGGGCGTCAACTCGTTGGAATCGAACGCATTACCAAGCGACTTTTCCGGAGCAAATATCATATTAGCTGCAACAAACGGCGCTGGCCCAACACACGTGCCTCTAACGCCACCGGAGCACATCGTTGAATCGCTACATCAGCAACGACAGCAGCTGCAGCAGCAGCAACATTTGCTTAACGGAAGCACTACAGCAGCAGGCGCAGGAGTTACACAGCTTACAAAAACAACTCGTCCAACGTCAATAGGGCTAAGTGCGCAGCAACAACAACAAATGGAACGCTTGCGCTTAGCCAACATGATGAATCAAGGTAAGTGTTGCCAGCACATTGAAATGTAAAGCCAATTGATAATTTTTTTTTTTTTAATTTCCTGGTAGAAATGCATGCATTATGGCCATATGGCACAGCTACATTCCTATCACCAATGCTGCCAGCCCCAAATATGGCTTTGCCCTACGCATTGGCCGCTACTTTACCTTATGCTGCTGTTCCGATATATCCAGCAGCTGCAGCCGGCATGCAACAGAATGTGCAGAATTTACCACAACAACAGTGCAACAATATATCGCCGGTATCGCAAACTGCAAATGTGCCAAATGGTTCTGTTACTTCCCCTGCTACTAGCAGCGGCAATTCGTCGAATGGCGCGCCACCGCTGCGTTCACAAACGAATGACTCGAATAAAATTAATATTCAGATTGGATTGCAGTGTGCTAGCCAGAATTCGCCACTGAATTTCAATTCGATGAACGAGATTAACGCTTCTTTGGCTAAGGTGAATCTATTGAATTTTTGTGGCGCTGGTACGGACAAGGAGAGCAAAGGTTACAATGAAAAATTGTATTAATTTTTAATATTTTAAAATTTTTTAATTTTATTATAGAAACTTCATCACTGCGCAGTTCGCCGATTTTATTAAGTTCAGAGTGAGTTTACATACATATGGAATAGCGTTTGATGGTTACGTCGAGTAAAATTTATTCGCTCGAATATTAGAATCAAGAACGTAAAAATAATTCCGTTGGTATTTAAGCAAAAATATTTTTAGTTTTAAAGTTTCTTCCTCATCATGTTTTCATTTATTAACTTTTCGTTTTCAATTTTTCAAACATTTTATATCTACTTTATTTAATAAATTCAACAACTTAAATTTTGAAATACGCGATGTTTTAACAAGTTTGGCTATTTTTTTTAGTTTATTCAATGTTTTCTATGAAAGTATAGCTGATTGCTTAACAAACACGATATAAATCCAAATTTCACACTTTTTAAAAAATTATGAAATTTCTGCAAAGTTTGACCAATATGTCTAACATCAAATAAACTAAAGAAAAATATCCAAAAATTGCTAAAATCTCATGTCCCAGTTTTTTTTTTAATTCAGTTATGTAGACGCTCTATGGTAAATAATGACTAACTGATTATGTTAAAGTTTTTTATAAATATTATTTTAATTTTACTCATCATCAATACTTTTTTCCTTCCTACAGTGATCTCAACAGCCCCTCTAGCGTGTGTCCGAATAATGCTCTTGGTGGTGGCGCCGGTGGCGATGCCACGAACTCTACTAACTCGCCTGGTAGTTCGGGTAGCTGCACCGTTACGCTTTCTCAAGCCAAATTCAATGAGCTCACTCGTCTTGCACTACGCGGCAGCGAAATAGCAGAGAAACTTGCCTACACACATCGCAATCGACCGTGTTTCAAAAAGATCGATAGTTTGTGTGCGCGCATGAAACAGGATCTCATACGTCCAGATGGCGTCTTACCCAATATCAATTCGCAGGGCATTGCTTGGGCTGTAAAGGATTTTATTTTCGTCTTCACACGTGTCATCAATGCATGGATTATAATAAAGGGTTATGTGTATAACACGCCAGAGGGCCTGAATAAAGTAAAAGCTGCGCTCAGTCCCGACTTCGCTGCTAGTTTCGCCGCTTGGCAGGATACCACAATGGATTTCGTTGAGAATCTAATCAAATCATTTGTAAATTTGGACAATTTGGTACAATCACAGAGGAATGTATATCAGAAAACGGAAAGCAGTGGCACGCGCATGGCACCCAGCACCACAAACATCAAGCTGCTACAACCAGTCAACTCACTATTGGACGACTCTTTTGATTTTCTCAATACATCCACTGAAAAATCACAACAGAGCGCGCTTAATAAGAACTATCTGTATACAATGGTTGAAGACTCTGAAGGTAGTCAGCGTCAAGCTACTGTAAATGGCACCTACTTTAAAACGGGCACATATAATCCCATCAAAAAGGATGAGTTGCTTGCGGATCAAACGAATAGTACCACCGCAGCAGCCGTTACAACAACAGCCGCAACAAGTACGGCAACACAACAATTGCTGGCAGCCAACAATAATCCGCTTGAGCAGTTTTTCGATGAACAAATATCAGATTTTTGGCCAGCAGTACCTGCCGCTGATGTGGATACAGCAACTGCAGTTGAGTACTTGAAGATAAAAGAGAAAATGCCGCCGAATTGGTTAAGCTATGACATACGCGTATTGGAGCAGAATCTTACAGAATTTTCAAATGATTACGATCCCACAGCACCGCCACGTCCGCTGGGTAAAGATCTGATTGATAAATTAAATATTATGATTGAACGTCTTATGGCTATGAAGCATGCAGATTTATTCTTTAAGTCGCAATTTACCAAAAACTATGTATGTTTATAATTATTGTATGTAGAAGGTATAAAATATTACAAATTCTAATCATTTGTATTTAGTTTCCTGAATTTATGTCTAAGCATAAAAACGATTTCATGGATGTACGCTCTATCATACTCAAGTGCCAAGTGGGCGGCTACCAGCATATTTTCGAGGTTGTGCATGATGTCAAGAAAATTGTACACACTGTCAAGGAGTATTTAAAAGTAAGTTGGAAAATTACTACTCTTTTGTGATTTAGATGATAATTTTTTTTACTCTTCCAGTTCAATGGAGACAGCAAATTGCAAAAATCCATAAGTTCCTTCGAATGCGAATTTAATAAATTACTCAGTGAACCACCTTTTGAAAATTATCAGTTTCACCATATCACAGGCGAACCCAAAGAGATACTCTACAATTGTCGCAGCAAATAAAATTTCAATTTTTTCACATTTTACATTTCAGTGCAACTCGAAATTAGTTTAAGTTTTGTGTATGTAGTAGAGGTTGCCCAGCTTACTTTATCATTTTTATATATAGTTTTAAATCAACTCCTTTCGATTGTTTACGGATGGCATGTTTAGTATAATAGGAGCTCAATTTTGTAGCCCTTAGTTGTGAGCCAATACGCATGCAAAGTATTTGCCTGCCATTTAATTGCATACATGCATATGTATGAAGTGTTTTAATATTTTGGAACCAGCACATGTTTTACAAAATATCTAAATTAAATTAAATTAAAATTACGATTTCATTAATGGCTTAGAATAATGAAAAAACCATGAGAAGCACGCATGCATTAAGTATTATTTTTATAATTTCTACGTAGCTCTGGTTTTGGTATGCACAAATTGTGTGTATGTATATGTTTGTATATGCTTGCATACTCACACACTTTTCACAATTTATTTCAACTTTAAATTAAGATTATTTTTATGTGTGAGTCAAATTATAAAGAAGTAAGGTATCTAATATCGATTTATTATCTAATTTACACTGTATTTTAAGTACTGAAATTGCAAAACCGAAACCACAAAAAAAAAAATGAATTGAAAAGTTTGCAAAGATTAAAGCAAATGCGACAGCAACAAATGTGCCTAAGCCTGCTGGTTACATATAAATATAAGTTGATCTCATTAAACTTTTAAAATGAAAGTATACTAAATTTAAGTTTGATTATATGTACATATTTTTGTGCATGTATTATAGACTTTTCAAAATTGTAGTAATACGTTCCAAACGTGCTTGAAAACGAGGCAGGTTTTCATTTTGATTTGTTATGCCAAAATTTTTCGTAATATATGTTATAGAGCTTTAGCAACAAAAAACGAATAATATTTAAAATCGAAGTGAATTTGAATTGGGCGAATTTTAAAAAAGAAGCATTGGGTATCAGCTTTGTATACATTTATATGTTGGTGAACACATGCGTAGACATATAGTATGTATGTACATATATGCACTTATATGTTATGAACTTAGTGCCTATGTAGCTATGTAATTAAATGAATCTTTTGTACTTGTTGAAATGTCATAAAATTAGTTTTACTACATTTTATACTTGTAATAATATTGACTTACCACATTTCTTAATCGAGATTTGTTGTAACATTTGTGAAAACGCTAATACATATTGAAGTATTTTAAATGCATAATAAAATATAATTTTTCATTGAACTCTCTGTGTGTCATCGTGTAGTTAAAACGAAATAATAAAATTAAACTAGAATAGGAGGTTCCCCACTTGAAAATCATTCAAATATTTAATTTAGTTGTAATTTCCGACCAAGGGGGATATCCAACGTTGCTGCCGCCGGAAATGACATCCATTAACATACTGCCCCCCTAAGTAGGCTACAAAAATATTCGCTGTATGCTGTTGATTGATCGTGTTTCCGTTTTAACCAGGGCTTCGGAGCAGGAGTTTTTTGTTTTTTTCACACTGCGTTATTTTATTTTGCCCGTTTACTCCTATTTAACGTAAGCGAAATTTGTTCTAAATTAAGCCGCCATCGATTCGCCGATGGCGAGTGGCGGAAAGAAAGAAATGAATGAGGTACAACCAAACTCGCCAACGTCCATCGCTGCTAACTAACTTTGTTGTTCCTTTCACAGGAATTTTACAGCATTTTT